ATCTTGCTATATTGCTCTGAGACATGGCCAATGAGAGTGGAGGATATTAAAAAGCTATCTCCTATTATCGCATCTATCTTCATTTAAATACCACTTGCATTAATAAATTTATTACATAGCGTCGCTTTCGCTGGTTAGAGCATGTTCTCCGTCTTCCACCACAAGAAATGTTCCTTTCGTTACTTGCTAAACCGTGTGTTGGTTGGCGTTAAAAGCGAGATGGGCCAATCAAGACCTGGTCTGATACAGTCAGAAAAAATTTTGCATGTAGGTGGACCAGCAATATGTGGATTTAAGCGATGAAAAAGGAATGGCTTCTATTACTGTCGATGATGGCATCAAACCGCTTGGAAGTGTAACAAGCCAGCTGAAGCCAGCCTAACCAATAATGAGTAAAGCTGTTAGAAGAGATGAAAAGAATATTGCATCTTTTTGTCCATCCTTGTATTGGTGCATCGTGGTGTGGGTTCGAATTAAGCGCAGCGTGTTTCATTAGGTAGTATCGCTTGACAACAAAGGAGAGTAGAATGGCTCAATGAGTTGTTGTTTAATTCGCAGGGCCACCATGGCTGAGGATCTGCTTGCGGCAAGAGTAAAGCTGTTCAGAAATCGGGGCGATGCTGGCCGCTCATTTCTATTTCTATCGGACTTCCTTGCATATTTATTTAACCTAATAAGCAGAGTAAGCTTAACCAGCAATGGAAAAAAACCTATGTCTATATTGCATATCCATTCTTTTATTACGAACTTTATTCAGTTTTTTAATTCTTCAATTCTCAGTCAGGAAACTTATTTTTTTTACTTTGCTAAGTCATTTATGTTTTTGATTGAAGTTTTCCTTTTATCCTATTGTTGCAGAATGTGGAATATTTTAAATTTATAAAAATTAATATTTTTTAATATATCGCATACTTGGCGCTTGGATTCTTTTTTCAAAAAATAATTATTTTGAATTAAAGTAGGATTTGAGATTTATTAATTTTGATTGATCATCAATTTTACATTATTTTCAAAATGGACGGTAATTTCATGCGCCGTTTAAAAAGAGTACCGGACCGAGAAAGTAACGAAATATACATCAACTCCTGTGGTGGATGCCCTAACCAGCGAAAGCGACACTCTATGACACTCTATTATTAATACAGGTGGTATCTGAGCAAAGATGGATGTGATATCTTATCTGCTCGACGAATCCGTAAAATGTACTTTAGACATGAGTGATCAAAGGCAGATATCTTCTTAAAATCCTCCACTCTCATTGGCCATGTCTCAGAGCCATGTCATATAGGAAGATCGAACAAATCATGGACGCGGAATTTTGTTTTTATGGTGATTTCGCGACGGTTCCATAAAGGTTTTATCAACCGGAAAAATATGATCTAGCTATCGTTATCCGAGTTACGATTTCATCGTTTGCCTGGCCATTTGGGATTAGAGTGGATCCAAGGTATTTAAAGTCCAGCACCTCCTCAAACGCTAATGAATTGATAAAAATAGGTATTTTATTATTTTAAGAGGAAAATGCTCTCGTTTTATTTATATTGATTTTGAGTCCAATTTTCACAACCAAATTAAGGAATATTGAGGAATTATTATTATTCATTTAGGAAATATTTATTTTATCTTTAGGCATCTTAAAAAAATAATTTAAGCAGACAATTCAAATGTCAAATTAATCATATTTTCTGTTCATTTCTTTCCCAAATGGAATATCGTCATTGCTTGTGTAGGGTCAGCATGGAATAAACTTTAAATCTTATCTGGTGCTTCCGCGATAGAAATAATCGAGAACTCATTTCGGTAATTTTTTTTTATTAGTACTTTAGGTAGTTTTTTTGAGCCTCGGATTAAATATTTTAAATCATATTGTATCTCGTATGTTCTTTTGGATATCGTTATATTGAGAGATCCTTTTTTTCAGAATGTTTTTATCAGGAGAGGTAAAGATTTTTTCTAACACTTATCAAATTTTTTATCAATTACTTTCCCTTGCCAAATTAGGTATCATCAATAAACAACATCAAGATTTTGCTTAAATTTTTAAACAGTATTAAGGTTTTGCTTAAATTTTTTTGAAAATTTTGAGACGGCTAGCTTTTATGTGATTTTCGCAAAGCATCTGTTGTTAATAATTAAATTAGTCCTTCTCATTATTTAAATAATTATAACTTTCAAATTTTGAAATTTTGAAAAAATATAATTTGCTAATTTAGCAAAAAAATATTGGATGAAAGAAATAAATTTGATATTTTTGATTTTTATATCTTAATGGCTATTTGATATTTTATATCTTAATGGCAGTGGTACGTCGTATTATCTTAAACTTGCGATTCTTGCTCTTTGACAACGGTAAATTTCCCATTAAAGTTGAAATTAAGGATGTTCTTGAAAATATCTACATTTCTGTCGACTCTGCTGTGAAACTAGTCGAAGGAGTCAAATTGAATGCTGTAATGTTGGTGATGTTAGAATAAGGAGATATATCCGGATAAAGAAAATTTCTTCCATTTATTCGTAAAATATTTCTAAAATGGCACAATTTAAATAAAAAAGTAAATAAATAAATAAAAGAACAAAAATTAACTCTTGATTAATAGTTTTAGCTAGAATATTCAATTTATCCAAAGAACTATCAAATCACTAGAAATGAATGAACAAATTTATTAAAACTGAGAAATTGCCTGCGTTAAGCATCAGCAATTTTTTTATCAAAAAACGTTTCGATTAGATCAGATTTTGTAAGACATTATAAGATTCGAAATCGAATAACTGACAGTTTAATTGCCGGGAAAACTAGTTATTATCTGCTAATATCATTAATAAAAATTTTTTCCCTTTTTTTGTCGGTAAATGAATTTGACTTCTTTAGTTTATTTAGCTGAGTAATTTTCAAGTATTTATCAAGTTGCACTGAAAAATATTTTGATTATTTCAAAATTCTTTTAATTCCGAAATCAAATTCATTTATACCGATTTAAGTGAATAATTTTGAATTCTTGGTTCATTTTGCTTATAAAATTGTATAATTTCTGAAGGAATCTTTTTTTCCTTGACAATTTCATTTTCATGAACAAAAAAACTGAAGGAACCGTCAGATTTCACTAAATAAATTTAAAGAAGTCAGTTATCAGAAATTGATCCAAACGGATAGATCGACAATTTTTACCTGGAAGATATTCGTTATTAACCGTGGAGGATAATGTAATCAGTATCAATAGATAAAGATAAATGTGGCTCGCTGCCCTCCTGCAGTTTATATTTACAGGGCTAAACTTAATAAGTACCCGCCTTTATGCTAAAAAAAAAAGTGGCTTACTTCTTCTGATCTTCCGAATAATAGGTAATTTTTTTTGAATTTTGAAAACGTGCAGGTATTTTAATATATTCATTAAAACAATATTCAAAACTAATAGCGGAACAGGAAAAGTTGATGTGTTGCTTGGATAAATGTTAAACCATCATAAATTCGATCCACATCCTTTGGCGGAAGTAAGCCTAAAAAGTGGAACTGGAATAAAATGGTGCTGGAAATTCATTACCCTTCTATTTGAAGTTGTCTCTGGTAAATAATTTTTAGATAGCTTCTAATAGACAGCAGAGCCAACTAAATCAAAACAGTACGTGATATTAAAATAGAATAGAAATTAATAGTAATTAAATAATGAAGCTATAGGAAATCCACTTAACAATCCATTGTTAAATTAATTTTGCTGTATTTTGAAAAATATTTAATTGGTGCAAATTGTGTTTAAAATTATATTTTCAATATATAATCAGGTATTTGGGCAAAATTTCTTGTTTTTTCCTTCTTTTTTTTTCTTGGGAAATATTTCATATCATTAATTTCCTCTCGATATTTTAATAACCTAACACTATAACTACAATGGTTATTACTACTACTATTATAATTTACTGTTTACTTGATATTAATTATGTAAAAAATAAACCGTACTTTCTTGGAAATTCATACTTTGACTTACATACTCTTATTATTTCATATTTTATTTTGTATGATAATATGCGTTTAATTTAATTGAAATGCGGGTTGAGAAACGTTCATCAAGAATCTTCATTTAGTAGGTTTTTCACACAATTTTTATGACCTGTTGAGATTATTATTTTCAGCTTAATCTTTAACATTATAATATATTCAGGTTATATTCGAATTTAAATAAATGAATAAATTTTAAAAACCTCATTTTATTCAGCAAGGAAATAGTTGCAGGATCGTATTTATTTGACACCTTTTCGATTTTGGAAAATATTTTTCTCCTAAAATTACTGAGAACTAAAAACGGAATCAAAATAAAAAAATTTTTATAGAGAGTGGAAATTTCCTTTATTTTCAGAGTTCGGAAATTTCATTATATAAGGGACCGCCATGCACGGAAGGTCGTTGTGGTAAAGCACATTGCTTTGCTAAACTCAATGATTATGAATGTCGATGTAAACCAAATACTTCTGTTGAGTTTTGTGATCCAAGTTTGTTTTACCTAATTTTATTCAAACTTCCGTTTTAAAATCTTTTATTTTAGAGCCTTTTTGGAGTTTATTTGTATGATATAAAGAAAAAAATAATGTAAATAATCTTACATTAACAATAAATTTAAGCCAAAATCACAAATTTGAATTGAACAGTTTAAAATAAAGAAAAGTTACATTGACTCTAAGGTATATTGTATCGAAGCAAAATTGATCAACACAAGCCTTATCATCGGATGAATCTTACGAGGATTCTAATTAGCTTTAATAAAGGGCCAAAATTTTCAGTGGTCCAGTTAATTTTAGAAATGTACTTTATGGACGCTTCAGGAGAGCCTTGTTATTAATACTATTTAATATTATTAAAATTTTGTGACTTGAAATCTGCTGAAAGTAGTAGTAGAAAGTATTGTGCTGACTGTATTTTAGATTAGAAATTTTTTCCACACGACCATTTAGAAATTACAGTTGAGTAAGTCGACAAATTGCGGGTTTTTTTAAAAACAGAATTAGTTAATGGCAGGGTCATATTCACTTTGATAATATAAGTAGCATCCGACTATCTTATCCGTTTTAAAATGACAATTGCTTTAGTTGAAAAAAAAGATTATTTCAGATAAATAATTCCAAATAATTCAAAAAGATTATCGAGTGTTATTTTTGGTTATTCGGCCTATAATATATTGGCTTATCTTCTGCATAAAATAGATCGAAAATTTATTTTTAATAAAATTGTTTTCATTCTCATGTGGAGAAGTATTAAAAAATTCGGTTTACATTCTATATTTAATAATTATTTCTAATAAGCGAAAATGGTGAAGATTATGCTCCATTATTTTCAGGTTATTATGCTTCACAGTCGAGAAAAATGGCTTATTTTGATGGATCTACTGGATACTCTTATCTCAATAAAGCTGTATATGGGTTAGATTTTTGAAAATCTTGAAAATTGGTTAAGTTGAAAATTAAACAGTCTAGAATGTATACTTTAGAACTTAAGAACTTATTCACATGATAAGAAAAAAGCATTATAGGGCAAAGAGACAACAGAAAATCAGCTATTCATTTTGGTTTAAAACAGTGGCATCTAATGGTCTTATAATATGGCAAAGCAATATGACAAATGGTAATAACGATTATTTGGCAATTTTTCTAACGAATGGATCACTCGGTTTTGCCATTATGCTGGATAAAAAAAGTTCACAGAAAGTTTTGCAGAAAAAGGTGAATGATGGCAAATGGCACGCCGCTTCTTTTTTAAGGTTAGTTATTACCATTTTAACCTTAATTTAATCTACAGAATTCTAGGACAATCCTCTCACAAGATGATCAGATTTATATCCCTATTATCGGCATATTTTAGCCATAATTTTGAAATTTTTGTTTCTGTGAGGTTTATGTCATAAGCTTCTATAATTTTTTCATACATTTGACATTAAATAAATATTTGCATCTTGCATTAATGTTGAAATTTTAATTCAATTACTCGATTTCCTCATTTTACCTATTTCCTTCTCCAGAAATAAATATTCATATAGATTCTAAATTGTTTTTTAACTCCATTCTAGTTAATCATAGTCTTATCACTCGAAGCGACAAACAAGTCGTCTTTTCTAATTTTTTAATTTTTTTAAATATGATTATTAAATTATAGAAATGGAGAAAAAGCTGAATTGATAATGTTTGCTGAAAAAGTTGTCATTGGTCTTCCATCTCATAACTTTGTTAGTAATGGAATAGTCAGAATAGGTCTCAGTTTTATTTATATGCTTGAATTATAGCTATATTTTTGCAATAATATTGTTTTTCCAATGTGTGCAATATTCAGTTCTCTTTAGTAAAAAAGAATAACTAAATATACTAATACTTGTGGATTTGTAAAATCCCATTTCATAATGCATTTTTATAAAATTTATATTACACTGCAATAATTTTGCAATTTCAGGTGGGAAAAATGTCAGAAATGTCAGAACAGACTCATATATCATTACTCCTTATATTGGATGTTTGGGTAGCGTAGACGTTGGAGATAGGGAATTAAATCTGTGGACGGATGCCTTATTTGGACAGGCTCCTAAAATTTGTAGGTGACTAAAATTTCTGGTGATGTAGAGATATATTTGTTAATTCGTTAGTCAGAAAATTTGTGGATAATGTGTATTAATTGAAGATAATTAATTGAAGATATTGGTCGTCATCAAGAGTGGTCATGTTCATTTTAGAGGAAAGAAATCTTTAAAAAATCTTTACTGATTTTTAAATCTTAAATTTTTACAAACTAATCTGCTGCTGCTGCTCTTTTCATTGTTTTAAACAATTTTTTCTCCTTTAAATGATTTGAGAAAGGTTTTTGTCAAATAACGTTTCATGGACTACTTAAAGAACTGTTTGATGAAAATTTTTATTTATTGATAAAATTCATCGCGAACATTGTGTAAAATTCTAGTCGAATAAAAATAAAGTAAATAATTGTTTTTTATGGAACAAAGTAAATAATAATCGTTTAAATCAATGATATATATTAAGGAATTGAAAAACAATTAGAGATTTAGAATCACCATTATAAAATTAATTGAAAAATTAAGGTATAAATAAAATATTTCGATGAATTCATTACATGTTATAACAACTATTATTAATATTATTATTAATTCAATTTAAACCCGAATGAAACATAAGCTATCGATTCCTAGGAGATAAAATACGTGCAGATAACATTATTTCATTTATTCGGTTATATGGTAAGGTAAAATTTACCACTACCATAGATTGCCATCTTCGCTGGTTTGAGCACATTCTTCATCAAGAGTTGGTAGACCAGCGATATATGGATTTAGACAGTGGGAAGAGTAATGGCTTCTACTGCTCAACGATGACATCCGAACAGCTTGGAGACATCTTATCGCCAGTGGAGCCAGTCTAATCTGTAATGGTGAGAGTGTTAGAAGAAGAAGAAAATGGTAAACTTAGAGATGGTATAAATTAACTTAATAATTGAAATAGTATTTTCTATTTGAGCATAGCGGAGAAAAGCCATGTTGAAGCCTTTCATAATTTTTGGTAATAATTTTTTTCATCATTATTCAGTAATTATTGAGACTTCTCGAAAATGACGGTTCATCGTCAAAATGTATAAAACAGATATAAATTCAGTGCCATAATTACGAATTTTATGAATTTGAGTTTGAGTTTCATGATAGTTCCCAATAAATTAATGATAAAATTCTTGTTTTTATTCTTTTTATTCCTACTCTTTAAAAAAATTTTGCTCAAGATTCACTATTCATCAATCAAAATTCATCAATCAAAAATTTTGCATAAAACTCATCAAAAGTTGTGTCACTACTGCTTGCAAATCTCTTAAAAGATTTAATTCAAATTTTTTATGAAGAGATTCTGAAATATGAAAATATGAATGAATAATGAATTGAAATATGAATGAATAAGGATTGCTTACGTTGAAGTATAGCGAACTTGTTAAAAGCAAACAATCCGTCCTATGAGAATGATACAACTCCGGCATATAAATGCAATTTTGAACTCTTCCAGTATTTTAAGTGGTAGCATTTAAGCCAAGAAGTTACGTAAATAATTGTAAAGAGCAAAAGAAAATGATAAAGTGATGATTCAATTCGTAGTACCATACATTTGAAGAAGAAATTTTCAGACTTTATAAGTTCACTATTAACATTTTTTGTTTAATTGGTTTCACTTAATAATGGATAATATTTGGTTTAAGATACGGTGCCTATGATCATTGATGACAAAATCATAGCACCAGCTGAATTAAATTTCTGATAGGGTTTTTACTGTTAAATGACAGGAACCTATGATAGATTAAGTTTAAGCGATCAAATGGCAGATTACGGCCATTCAATTACCAATAGTTTCCAAATCCAAGGCAATCGACAAAACATTTTGCTTTTTTTCCATTCGAAGATAAATAATGAAAGAATTGATGAAAAATAGAAATCATCAAACTAGTCCAGCTAAACTTGATGAATTTTTTGTAACAGTAAACTTTATGCTAGTTAGTTAGTTAATATATCGATAATATTTACATTTTTCTTCGCCCAAATTTCTTCTTCCCTCTTTATTTGATTAACTTCTCATCCTCAAAATCAACGTTAAAATGGTTTGTTTTATTAATAATTCTATTTTATAAAATAAAATAATGTTAAGAATTTAAAATTATCGAATCAATAAAAAATATAATATTATAATATGAGATTCGACAATATTATAAAAGAAATCTGGATTTCTAGATAAAGTATTAGGATAATCTTAAAATGAAAATATTTTATTGATAGGTAATTTCTACTTTTTTCTCCTAACAACTCTCTAATACTGGTTAGGTTGGCTCCACTGGCTACAAGGCTATGATGTCTCCAAGTGCTCGGTCAGACGCCATAGTAGCTATTCCTTTTTCCATCGTCTAAGTCCATATATTGCTAGTCCCTTAAACGTTCAAAATCCTTCCTAACTATCAGTCCAGGCCTTGGCTGGTCCTCCTTGCTTTTTACGCCAACCATCACAGGGTTTAGCAAATAATGAAATATGCGTCAACTACTGTGGTGAACGACGGAGAATGTGCCCTAATCAGCGAAGGCGGCGCTGTGTGATAACATTATTATTAATACAGGTGTTATTTGAAGGAAGATGGATACAATCATGTGCGATTTTATCTGCTCGGCGGATCCGTAAAATGTACCTTAGATATAAGTGGTTAAAGATTAATAGCTTCCTAATATTTTCCACTCTCATTGGTCATATTTCACAGCCATATAGCAAGATCGAGCAATATGGACACGGATTTATCGTGTTCATGGTGATTTCGCAGCGGTTCCATAGAGATTTCATCAACCTATTTAAAAACACATTTCTAGTCATTATTGGAGTTACGATTTCATCCTTCGCCTGGCTATTTGAAAGTAGAGTGGATCCAAGGTATTTGAAGGTAATTTAGCCGAGGAAAAAATTCCCTAAATTGATGGAAAAAATCCAATATCGAATTTTTGTATTTAGGTAAATCCTAAACCTTCATTGTCTGAAAATTAATAATAATAGATTTAATAATAGATTAAATTTCAACGTAAAAATAATCATAGATTGACGTTACTTAAATCTTGATGTGAAATTGTTTTTAAAAATAGTACAGGTTCATTTCTGTTAAAAATCTGAATTCTCAAGAGTATATACAAAGGTAGCAAAAATTACAGCATCTGCCACTATTTTGAAAATTCTTTTAAGTATCTCTTTTATTTGAAAAGCTATTAAGCATTGCCTAGATATCAATAGAGATGCTAACATAAAACCGTTATTCTAGGGCCAGAATAACAATGCCGCTGATGCCCTTAGCCAATTGTCACAGGAACAAGTCAATCGTACGTTAATTATTAATTATTATTGTTTAAAGAAAATTTTGCCTTGTCAAAAATAATTTTTTAATTATGATATGGTCGATAAACGGCACAACAATCCAAACGATTGTCCTGTGATGATTATTTAACTTAGTAACAAATCTATAAGTTATGCTGAAAATATGCTGAGAATGATTATTTTCATCTCTGAATTTATTTTTGACTAACCTCATTTACTATTTTACTGACAAATTGGCTAAATTACGAGGTAAGCAGCATTCGCATCGACTAAATAATACCAATTTGTAATTTGCCAACATTTGCCAAAATTAGGCTCACCTTACTTTATCTTTTTTCCTTATTTCGAGGATTATGCAAGCGAATAGTGGAGAAATAAGAGAGAAGGATGAGAGAAAATAAAACTAAAATATTTCCTCTAATTTTTATTTATCTAATTTTTTCTAATTTTTAATTTTTATTTTTTTTTAGTTTTTAAACTAGCATCTTTAATTTACTTTTCCTTAATTAAACGGAGTTTGCATATTCTTTCTAAGAATTTTTTAAATAAATAATATGAAAAGCATTTATGGATTTCATCAACTTACTTCAATTCAATTTATACTAAAGTCCCTTATGCATTTAAAAAATTTATTGGAATATGATAAAGGAAACAGGCTATTTGTCTTTTGCAATTTAACAAATCTCGCTTATAATAAGAATCATTTGCGGATAAAATTGCTTATAGACTGATTTCAACATCACTTAAATTATGAGGTTTTCTCTCGTCAAACTTCAGTTATTAAAACAATGCTGAGACTCATTCAAAAAAAAATCATTCGCCTTTTGTAATTTAACAATTTAATAATAACATAATTTTTAATAATTTTGGAATTTAACAAGTCTAGCTTAAAATATTCTGATAAAAAATTTAATCATTTAATAATCAGTTAATAAAAAATTTTCTAGAATTTCGAAAATATTTCAATATGTTTGACAAAGAAAATAAAGGATACATAAAAGCAACGCAGGTTGGTCAAATTTTGAGAACAATGGGCCAGGCATTTGAAGAGCGCGATTTGAAACAACTCATCAGGGAATTCGATTCAGATGGTTAATTCATATTTAGCTAATAGAAAAACCAGTTAATTTTGTAAATCTTATTTTTGCAAATGAATTTTTGGTGATTTGCGACAAATGAGCATAGTAAAAATCATCTCTTTTCTGTCTGGACTAGCTTCACTAGCTATTTGCAATATTAGAAGTTTTTGCAAGAGAGTCACTTAGCGATGGAAATATAAGTGGATCACCAGCATGGATTTTTTAATGGTGGATTTATTCTTGAAAAGATGAGAGAATCTATTGTGCTTCATGCAGATCAAAGCAATTAAACCACTCCACAACCGTGTCTCTATTTGGTTCTTTAAATCAAAAAAAAGTAAAATAAATGAATGAACCAATTACTGAGAAATCGAAGTATTAAAAAAAATAGATGTAAAAGATTTTTATTGAGATTACTGAGTTTAAATATTTATAATTTTGCCAAAAAGGCTTTTGTTTTTGAGAAATTTATTTAATCTAGAAATTAAAAGAAATAATAATTTAATGGCCTATAATTTATTATGAACAAAAGAGATGAAAGGTAAAGAATATAAAAGGTAAGGTAAAGAAGGAATATATAAAAAGCTGAATAGTAAAAATTTTTCAAGAACTGTTACTTCATGTAAATTAGTAGCCATATAGATATTTTTCGAATAAACTTATCATTTACAACTTCTCAGTGAAAAACCTGGAATTATGCCCGGAAAAGTCGTTAGGTACCAATAATTTGCAAGCCAACAACCTTTATTTTCCTTATTTTGACTATTCAATTCCTATAGAAAGCTTTGGAGCATTGAGCCCTCTCGATAGCACTGTTTATAACCTCGTCCTTTAATTAAGTTAGTAGTTAATAGTCACCATTTCCAGTTAGAATAGTTTCCAGCTTGTTAATATGGTTAGAAATTTTTATCTCGCAATTACTCAGCGATACGAGTAGGCGGCCAAGAATACTTGGATTTTCTAATGACAGATTTGTTTTTTTGTAAAGAGCTTCTCGTTCTTCAATGCGATAGTCCAGCCAATATCCATTCGGCAACTCATAATACTTTGTATTGCCACTTGTTTTCCTTCATTTACAAATTTTCTTTGCTTTTCTTTTTTTTTTACTTTATTTTTTGAACCACAAATGGCGACTGAAATCTGGAAATACAATGAGTTTTATTTTTATATATTAATGGGTTTTTAGAAATAAAATTGGATAGGAATAATCCGAAATGTAAAAGTAAAAAAGTTCAAAATCTAATGAAAAAATCGATAAAAGGTTAAAGATGGTTCATAACAACATTCAAACGCATAATGGAGGAGAGAAATTTAGGATCTGGTGAAATTGAGTTTGAAGAATTTGCTGCAATGGTGGCAAGTTTTGTAGTTGAAGATGATAACACAGGTTTGGAAGAAGAACTTCGTGAAGCATTTCGTCTTTATGACAAAGAGGTTTGTTTCTTCTCTTTTCTCCTCAAATATAATATAATATAATATAATATAATATAAAATAATAT